GTACTTCTTTTGGCGAGCTAAGACGGCGCTGTTATTGCTTCAAGGCTAAAAGGAACTGGTGTTTGTGCTTTGCCCAGACCTAGTGTATCATTTGGAATGGAAAAACTTGTCAAAACTGATCCCGACGTCTGTCCGCATGTCTGTCCGCCAAACTACTTTTTTCCCATTTTCTCCGGAACTATTCGACGTACAATTTTGCAAGAAGCATCCCATTAACTGTGCCCACTCATAATGTAAGTGTCAAGTAATTCGCTTTTGAACTTTCGTTGCTATTGCAATCTTGAAAAAATAAGTGTAAATCCAAGATGGCGGCCAAACGGCTGGAAATATCCCCTTGGAACAAACGATCGAAAATAATCAGAATGTCAAGACACAGACACATACCAAATATGGACGCTATTGGGTCAATACTGACAGAGATATATACTGTTTTATCCGGTTCTGAGAAAATATTGCATTTTTGGCACTTTTCAATCCAAACTAGCCACCAAATTACGCAACGTTTGAAAAGCATGTAAGAACATAGTATGTTCAGTCTCTAATACTGTTGCGTCCTGTCCATTTTCAGCACTTTTTTTAGCAGAACCTGAACAGGTATGCTGTTCTTAAAGATCTATACTTGGAAACTTCTAGAATCCAATATGGCCGCGTAACATTCACATTTTGACATGCATTAAAGAACAAACATTGTTCAGTAAACGAAGCTTCTACATACTGGGTAATACCAGCAATGTATCTTAAATAATACAGAACATACAATTTTTTGAAAAATAATTTTAGGAGAACATAAACAATAGAAACAAACATCAAGATATCCGTAACTAATGAAGTTATCGAAACACCGTCCCAGATTATTCATGTTTGAGGTATGGACGCTATATGTGCAAATTTGCAATGTTCTGTAGCTCATACATTTAGAGGTACAGATTGTGGAAAATGGTTACCTCTCAAAAACCGGCAAATTCCCTTTGAACATCTTAAATCCAATATGGCCACCAAACCACGTGACTTTTGACATATGACTAAGAACAGAAAATGTACAGCAACAACAGACAACATCCAAACCAGCTTGTTCAAGACTTCTCCGTGGTTGTTTGCTTTTGAAAAACCCATGAAGAAGTCTTTGAAAGTTTTTGAAGAGAACTTTGGCCCGGAAGTAGCACTCAATATGGCGGCCATCGAAGGTAGATCCTGGCACTTTTTGTGCAGAATTTGCACAACGGTTACTGGACATCAGTTATGGAAAGTTTGGAATGTTTAGAGCTGATGGTTTGAGCTCAGCACATTTTGGGAGCAAACTACTCAGAAAAGTGCTGAAAAACATGGCCAAAAACTGAAAACAAAAATAACTGCCAAACGGTACATTTTAGCGACTTGACCCATCCAGGCAAAATTTTTGGGAATTGGATTGTGCATCTGTTCAAGGCATTTGGAAGTGTTGGAACAATTAGTTCTTGAAATATTTGCTGTCAAACTTTGAAATTTTGGAATTAATTTTGAATTATTTCCCCTTTCCTCTTGGGCCTAGCGCCTAGAGATTTTTAAGGGGAATATCTACACCGCGGTGGGGATTTGTGCGATTTTTTGTAACCGATTCGGAGCATTGGTTTAGGAGGTATGTTTGGTACAAAAATCGGCGGAATAATAAATAATAATAATAATCCGAACGATTACAATAGGTCTCCTTCCTAGAGGCAAGGAGCCCTAATTATATTTTTAGCACAAAGATAGGGCCACAACTCCGAGATGTGAATTTTTTTTCTTTCTGAAATAATAGTCAACAATCTTGAGATATATTCACTCAGTTGTCAAACATTTATGTACTTATGTACAGAAATAAAGAAGTTGTGACTATTTTATCAAGCACAGGCTTGTATAAACCTGAAATCGTGACAATTGTTGTGGAAAATGAAAGCTATATGTTCTCACAATCTACTGTCATTTAATTTTGTCTCCTGCTTTGCCTAGTTTCCGAGTTACAACTTGTTTTCATAGACGATTCTGTCAAAATCGATCGGTGTCGTTAGGCCCTATTTGTATAATGACTGATCCAAATTGATCCCATTTCTGTGTTTTTTTACCTCGATATTTAATCATGTCATGTAAAAATCTGTTTGTATTCTCAAAACAGTGTCGGCCCATAAGTTTTCACATGCAATACAGCAATTAATACTCCTTTGTTGTAACCCGTGTTAGGTGGTATAAACCTACATATGTTATTTGTCATCATTCACTTGATGGTCAGTTAATGAATTTATAACAGGTATAATTAGTGGTAACACACTTAGATTACCGACAAAGGTTCCCATTTGGCATTTCTTGTGTCTGGAGTAAATATTCAACATTATTAACATCGATCAAAGGATTAACCGATAACACGCTGATTGATTAATTACTTTTATCTTATACAGCGAAATTGTCAAAAGGTAGTGTTTATGTATGTAGATTTACTAATCTATACTGAATACACTCTGTTGTGTCGGTGTCTGCGTAAAAACAACGTCCTTCTTTCAAAGGATTAATCGGCAATACATTGATTGATTGCCCATTATTGGCTAACTAATTTACTGTTTTTAAAGAAAGGCGGACATTATGCAATTAGTTGCCAGGTGTGCTATCTTGGGTGACCAATGAGACTATACACCAATACCTGAAAAGATTTATCACTTTTCGTATATTAAACTGTTTAAAGACACATCATTTGGAACAATTTTGTGGATATTGATGGATACATTCCTCGAACAAGGTAATGGCCTGATATTATTCTTATAACTTTGATCTGTTTTAATTTTAATAATTGCATGTTGTTTTTATTCATTTGTCGTAGCATTCAACAGAATCATTGTTTTCGCCGTGAAGTGTAATGAGACAGACAACTCTAGGGTGTGTGTGTGCGAATTATGATTCACATTGGCAAACTATAAAATGTCTAGATATTACAGTTCTGTTATAAATTCACTATAAGTATCAGCAGATCGTCTGCTTTTTATTTAGTTTCAAAATGCATACAAGTATGATAATAAACTAATTAGGATTATAAGACCAAATATAAAGACGCACATTGACTAGTATCTACATACTGGTGAGTGGACATTAACCATGTGAATGTAGCAAGAAATGTATCACGCAGTATTGTGACTTCGACCCCACCTCGCTTCGTGGAAGAAATCGTTATGTTATAAGTTGTGTCATGCAAAATCCGTTTGGTTATGATTCCAATACATATTTAACTTCTGAGTAGAAAGTAGTTTTGATTTTTCTAACTTGATGAAAACAAACTATAATCTCATTAATTCTAACAGACTTTACGATTTTCAAAATGGCGGCCCTGTCTGGAACATCCGCCAGTCTGAGGATAAATGCTATTTAGGTTTGTTTTCACCGAGTTACAAAATCAAAACTACTTTCTACTGGTAGTAAAATATGTATTTGATTGATGGCCAATAGGATTTTGCATGACATAGCGTATAACATAACAATTTCTCTCGTGGCAGCGAGGTGGGTGTCAATATAATACCACTTACAATATTATTGTTACCGACCACAAGCTCACTTCGAGGAAGAAATCGTTATGTTACAAGTTGTGTCATGGAAAATCTTTATGGTCATCAATCATATACATATTTTACTACAACTAGTAAGTAGTTTTGATTCTTTAACTTCCGTGAAGCGATCTGAACACAAGTAAGATATCGCTTCAGGCTTCCACAACACTTCGCCAAGACTCACAAGCATAACCCATTTAGCACGAACTGCGGGTCCTGTGGAAATCTGTGCATGGTGACACCATCGCCCGACCCTAGGAGCACTTGACGACAAAGCAACGATTCGGCATGTCGTCGTTGATGTCGAGAAATCATCAAAATGATGAGCGTGCTACACACTTTCTATACAACTAACTGAAAATCGGTCCTCATATGACGTCACTGCAGTGCTCTGGCGACAGAGTTACGTAACCTGTCTGTGGTTTCGTACGTTGGCGGGCGAGAGGGAAGCAGGCGACTTTTTGGCCACTTTTAATCGCTCGGTATTAATTAACCACAAGTTTTTAAAGAATAAATTTGGTGTTCCGCGTAAGACTAACTACAAATCTTTCATATGTAATGGTTAAAAGAGTAACAAAAAACAAAGTTTAGTGGTTCTTTAACATCAGGTAACATTAGAACAGGAAGTAATGTCATATTTGTGCAGATGCATTAAGCCTGAGGATAGAATGTATGTTGATGCTTATTCAAAATCTAAAGGTTTTAAAGTGATAGCCGAAATAGCAATTTATTACTGATGTAACTGAGGTAGCATTCTTAAATTTTCCACAAAATGATAGCTATTGATTTATGTTAAAAACCATTATAGAATAAGGCACATGCCTGATAATTTTCATTCCAGTGTTTCAAAATGTTCACAAAAGTTGACATTTACTGTAGGCTGAAAATGTACCTTGCTATCTTGTCCTCTAAACTTGACTTTGACCAAGAGTCTTTTTCCTTTAACCTGAGAAAGAAAATCTGTAGACAGTCATTTTGAGAGATTATAGAACCAACTCCATGACTAAACTAAACTAAAATAATATAAGTCATAATAGAACTTTTTGATCGTGTTGCAGAAGAAACATAAATGCTCCAATGCACTCATCCACATTTTTAAAAAATTTGGGAAGAATTTGAAATAAAATAACTTGGACCTTGGCAAGAATCTGTATTACTGTTAATTGACCTTGGAATAAATTTGTTGATGATAAACAGCTAATTGATTGTATTTCCAAGCAAAATGTCAATATGTAAGATGCACTGACCAAGTCTTTCAGTCAGCAAGAGATGGGTTTGTAAATGTGTGATAAAGAGTGTTCAGTATTTGGCATCACTTTTCATGTAAACAATTTCACAAGACCACAAGGCCAGCACCATTCTCATTTTCTTAATTCCCTTACTTTCCCACATGATTTCATATACACACAATGAAACAAATTCAGCAAATGCTTCTTGTCAATCTCATAATTATAGGTGATGATTCTGGTGAAGAGACACTTAGCAAAGGTTCTGAAGTACAAGCAAAAGGAGGGGGATATGATGATTCTTGGGGTGATGATACCGACCTCAGTCTTGCAGCAGATGACAAAAAGTCCAAGGTATTACATTAATGTCACTATGTCTAGGAATAGGGAACAACAATGATACTTGTGCAAAACCTGTTTCTCACAAGACGATACCTGTGAAGATCCGGGTTATAATGAGCCTTCAGTAACCCATGCTTGTCGTAAGAGGCGACTAACGGGATCGGGTGGTCAGGCTCGCTGGCTTGGTTGACACATGTCATCGGTTCCCAATTGCGCAGATCGATGCTCATGCTGTTGATCACTGGATTGTCTGGTCCAGACTCGATTATTTACAGACCGCTGCCATATAGCTGGAATATTGCTGAGTGCGGCGTAAAACTAGACTCACTCACTCTCACAAGACGTCTGCCTGCTTGTCTCCAGTTTCTTGCATTAACTTACCCTAACATGATTAACCACCCCTAAAAATAAGGCAAAGATCTCTCTCTCTCTCTCTCTCTCTGCAAGTAATTCAATATCATTTATTCATTACTGCTGCTAACAACAGGATTCATCTGACACTGAAGAAGAACTAAGAAAGGAAGAGGTTTGTATACATAATTATGGACAAAAATATTATGATTCTTATGGATACTTGATTGCCTTATTTCTTAAAATGGAAATTATTATGATTACATCCCTATAAGACCTTATTGCTTTTTTACTGAAACTTGTTACAGAATCCACAGGTTTAGCTTGAGTAAAGTCTAAAGAGTTTATGTTCCCAGAGGTCCTCCAAGTGCTTTCTGCTGGAGTTATCTCCCTTTCCATAAAGTAAGGGGGTAACCTCATAATTGTTTTTGAAGGTTTGGATGTTTTCTTCTATCCATAATGGGTAAATCTAAAGGTTCAAAAGTTATCTCTTCTTCTCCCTCTGGCTCTAAAAATTGTTTAGCATCTGGGAAACTTATGTCCTCTGAGGATCTGCATGCCCAACATTTGGGAGTGTGTGGTGAGGCCATGTTCTTTTGTTTCCCAATGTCATGTCAGCCTCTATCACCTGCTGCCTTTGAGAAATGTAATGCTGGTCATTAAGAGAAGAAGGTGTCCCAAATGTTGTGTATCAGAAGTGCTGTCTAAGACAGAAATTATCTCTGATAATCAGTTGTACTTGAGGGAAGCAAGGCATCCCTGCCACATCAGATTTGGACACACTTTTTCCTACTACACCTGAGATTAAGCCCAAGATTGTAGCAGACAAGGCATTTTCTGCAGCATTGAAGCTGTTATGGGATCTGATTGTCATTAAAGTCTTGGTGGATATCTCTCCAGTCTTTCTGGTTCAGGGAACTGGTGGGTAGCCTAGTGGTTAACGCGTTCGATCGTCACTCCAAAGACCCAGGTTCAATTCCCCACATGTGTACAATCTGTGAAGCCCATTTCTGGTGTCCCCCGCTGTGATATTGCTGGAATATTGCTAAAAGCGACATAAAACTAAACTCACTCACTCACTTTCTGGTCCAGAAAAAGAACACAACAAACATGCGAGTGATTATCGATCTCAAAGTGCTCAACAGCGATTATCTCATAAAAGGAAAGAAGTGGAATTAATACAGGTCAGGTCATTCTTCAATAGGTCATGATATACAGGACACATACCTGAATAACACAATTCATTCATGCTGCTGACACATCCTAAGATTTACACTAAACAATCAGAAGTAGGAGTATTTGGTCCTTCAATTCAGAATCTCCATAGCACCATTGCTTATCTCAAGAATTACAACCCTGTTCAGCAGAGCTGCTCATTCATATAATAATAATAATAATAATAATAATAATAACCATGTCCAAGGTTGTTGGACAGAATCTGAAATTTGAGGTTCATTTTGTTGATGGCGTTGTACTGCTGGCCAGCGATGGGAGTAAACCAGGTGAAGTCCTTCACCAAGTCTGCCCAGAGTCGGTCTTTTGTGGAGAAGCTTTCTGAGAAGCCATTGCATCATGTGTACATCATATGCAGTGTGTGGAACAGAATAGCAATCCAACCAGCTCCTTTGCCTGGATGAAGTCGGCTGGTCTTAAATGTGAAACTGAGGGCTTCCTTTTTGCTGCTCAGGACCAGTCACTTCCCACTCGTAATAGCCAAAATGTGAGTCTTAAAGAAAATATTAACATGAAATGTCAACTTTGCAATGAATTCACAGAGACTGTCCAAAACCTTGTCACTGGATGCCCTTCCTTGGCACAAACAGCATATCTTAAATGACATGATGGCATGGCTCGTTGCTTTTACTATCGTCTTTGCCATGCCTGTTGCTTTGACTCTGAGGTCCATCCATGGTACGACCCTGATCATGTCCAGGGCGTCATGGAAAATGATGATTTCAAACTTCTCTGGAATAGGCCCATATACAGCCTCAGAAGAATTCCTGCCAACAAACCTGATCTTGTCCTTTTTGATAAAGCCAATGAATTTATATATATCATTGAATTTTCTGTCCCTTTGACACCAATGTGATTGGCAAGATTCAGGAAAAAGCATACTAAGTATGCAGACCTCACCTTTGAAATGTCTCGCTTGCATCCCAAGTACACTGTCGTCAGGCTCCCCATTGTTCTCGGTGCCCTTGGTTTCATACCTCCTGATCTCTTGGCGCAGATCAGGAGAGTGCCCGGGTTCTCCACCGCGAGTACAGCCCTTCTGACACTCTGGGTAACGCAGAAGGCAGCAGTGTTGGGGAGCCTTCATATTCTCCGGAAAGTTCTTGGTGGGTTCAACTAGGCAGCGTTTCCTGGGAGAAGTCCCATTCGCTGTCTGGGCTGCGTGTAGAGGGGGCGAGGGCCCTGAGCTGATGATGAGCCTTACCAGCCTGACTGTCCCAGGATCACCCGAACCCTCTCTGCTGCATACTATCTTTAATCTGTAAAATATAATAATAATAATAATACTTGAGGTTGATTTTGTTGATGGCGATGTACTGCTGGACGGTACAGCGATAAGAGTAAACCAGGTGAAGTCCTTCACCAAGTCTGCTCAGAGTCGTTCATTTTTGCTTCGTGTGTACATGCAGTGTGTGGAACAGAATAGCAATCCCACTGACTCCTTTGCCTGGATGAAGTCGGCTGGTCTAAAATATGAAACTGAGGGCTTCCTTTTTGCTGCCCAAGAGCAGTCACTTCCCACTCGCAATCGCCTGAATGTGATTCTTAAAGAAATTATTTGCATGAAATGTCGATTGTGCAATGAATTTACAGAGACTGTCCAAAACCTTGTCACTGGATGCCCTTCCTTGGCACAAACAGCATATCTTAAATGACATGATGATGGCATGGCTCGTTGCTTTTACTATCGTCTTTGCCATGCCTGTTGCTTTGACTCTGAGGTCCACCCATGGTACAACCCTGAACATGTCCAGGACGTCATGGAAAATGATGATTTCAAGCTTCTGTGGAATAGGCCCATATACAGCCTCAGGAGAATTCCTGCCAACAAACCTGATCTTGTCCTTGTTGATAAAGCCATTGAATTTATTTATATCAATTTTCTGTCCCTCTTTGACAGCAACGTGATTGGCAAAATTCAGGAAAAGCATTCTAAATATGCGGACCTCACCTTTGAAGTACACTGTCGTCAGGCTCCCCATTGTTCTTGGTGCCGTTGGTTTGGTACCTCCTGATTTCTTAGCGTAGATCAGGAAAGTGCCCGGGTTCTCCACAGGGAGCACAGCCCTTCTGACACTCTGGGTAATACAGAAGGCTGCAGTGTTGGGGAGTCTACATATTCTCCGGAAAGTTCTTGGTGTGTTCGATTAGGCAGCGTTTCCTTGGAGAAGTCCCATTCGCTGTCTGGGCTGCGTGTAGAGGGGGCAAGGGCCCTGAGCTGATGATGAGCCTTACCAGCCTGACTGCCAGGATCACCCGAACCCTCTCTGCGGCATATTATCTTTAATCTGTAAAACATAATAATAATAATAATATGTGCATTTTTATAGCACATCTATTCACACAGTAGTATGCTCTGTGTGCTGCTCAAACAAGGTTGTTGTTAGAGAAATGTTTGTTGAAAGAGATAAGTCTTTAGATTATTTTTGAAGGAAGGTACAGGTTCAACTATTTTGAGGGATGTAGGCAGCTCATTCCATAAGGTTGAGGCAGCGTAGGCGAAGGTTCTTTTACTAAATGTTACCGTCTTATACTTTGGAACTGTAAAGAGATACTTGTGCTGAGATCTAGATGGAGAGTATGTGTGCAGCAGTTCTTGCAGGTAAGATGGAGCCAGACCATAGTAGCACTTGTATACAGTCAGAAGAATTTTGAAGTCTATGCGAAGAGCTACAGGGATCAAATGGAGGTCTTTTAGTGATGGCTTTGTATGGTCAAACTTTGAAGATCTCAAGATAATTCTTGCAGCAGAGTTCTGAATGGCATGGGGTCTTTCTATCTGGTCTTTGTTAATATTAACAAAGAAGCTATTGCAGTAGTCTATTCTACAGAGAATCATCGCAACATCGGGTAAGTTTGAAGGTCGAATCTGTGTTGAGATATGGCCTGAGTTTTCCAATGTTATGTAGATGGTAATTGGCTGTATGACATACTCGTGTTATGTGTTGATTCATCATCAGCTGCTGGTCCAACCAAACTCCCAAGATTTCGTACTTTTCTTGAGGGTGAATGATTGCACCTTCTACGTTCAGATATCCAATATCACCACAGGCTTCATTGATTATTTTGGGCCAAATAGAATGACTTCTGTCTTTTCCTGGTTTTGTTTGAGCATGTGAGAGCTCATCCATTTCTTTGCACCAGAGCAACAGTGTTCCAGAACATGTGCTGAAGGTTGTTCATGAGACGTTATGAATGAGACATAGGGTTGACTGTCGTCAGCTTACTGATGCAGATTCACATTGTGGTTGTTAGCAATAGTACTGAGTGACAATGAGAACAAAATGGGTCCCAGAACTGAAAGTTGTGGAACACCTTGTAGAACAATCAAGACTCAGTGAGGAGGAACTGGAATTCCATACAGCTACAGCTTGCGATCTGTCAGTAATGTATGACGTCAACCAAGCATGTGCTGTGCCAATCATTCCTAGGTCATGCCGAAGTGTGTTCAGCAGTATTCCGTGGTCCACTGTGTCGACTGCCACAGAGTGGTCAAGTAAGACAAGTAGCACCATCTTCTGGTTGTCCATTGCAGTGAGAATGCGTTTGTCACTCTGAGTAAGGCTGTCTCTGTACTATGTCCAGTCCTGTAGGCAGACTGAAACTTCTTGAACATATTTTTTCTGATAAGATGATCTTGTATACAGAGAGCAACAGCTTTTTCCAAAACTTTGGATAAAAACGGGAGATTGGACACTGGTCTGTAGTTTTTCAGAACTTTGCCATCAAGACCTTGTTTCTTCAGGTTGGGTTTCACAAGGGTATGTTTAAGGAAGTTGGGACCTAGCCTGTAGATAAAGACAAGTTGACTATTCTTGCAATGGCCGGAAGTTGGACATCAAGACAGTCAGTCAGCTGATGGGTTGGGATCGTACCGACTTCACAGTACTTGGGCTGGACATGCTTAATAAGCTTCAACACTTCATGTTCTGAGAAATAGCT